CAGCTGATCATCCCACGGAGTACCTTCATTCTTGGACCACGTATTTCTGTCTTTGTTAAATAAATATTGCCATAACAAATAAAAAAAGGAAATTGGACATGTTGAAATGGTAAAAATCTTGAGAGATGGAAACCTATTGATAGTTTGTAAAAATGAAGAACAAAAAAATAAGGCATTAAATGTGGACAATATTTGCAAAAAACCTGTGCTGGAGAAAAAAATCATGGGAGAAAATAAAGTTAGAGGAGTGGTTTATGGATCCCTCTAGATGAACATCTTGATAAAATTAAGAGAAGTGTTGTAGGTGCAAAAGTGAATAACTTGAAAAGATGGTCAAAAACAGTGGATGGAGAAAGAGTAGGAAGTTTATCAATTCTCAGTGAGTTTGAAGAAAAAGAGTTGCCAAAAAATATCAAAATAGGGTGTCTTAGTTTTCAAGTCAGACCTTATGTACCTCCACCACTTCGTTGTTTCAAATGCCAAAGATATGGACACATAGCAGCAGTTTGTAAAGGGAAGCAGAGATGTACAAAATGTGTGGAAGATCACAAATTAGAAGAATGTAGAGAAGCACAAGAAAAATGTTGTAACTGTGGAGGGAAACAGAGTCACGTTTGGAGGATGTGAGGTAAGGAAGAGAGCAAAAGAAATCATACAGATTAAAACAACTAAAAACACAAGCTATGCAGAAGCAGTTAGAAATGTGAAGGAACAGAAAACAAGAGAGACTGAACAAACAGCAAGTCAAAATACACAACAAACCAAAGTACAGACAGAAGAAAATGTTACAACGTCAGTAGAAAAAATAGTATTATTCATAGCATATGTTATCAACTGTACTGACCAAGCCAAGAACAAAACTGATAAGATTAAAACAATAGTGAGAGGAGCTGAAAAGTTTTTGGGGTTTAAAGAGGGATCATGGGAAAACATAAATAAAAAGTTGGAGGTAGATGGGAGACCAGGACCATCAGGTGAAAACAGTTAATGTTAATTTTACAATGGAACGCAAGAAGTTTAATCGCTAACGGACAGGAATTTAATGCTGATATTAATGAACTTGATGAAAAACCTGATATACAAGAGACATGGTTAAAACCAACATTAGATTTTGTTATAAAAGGATACATTAGTTTAAGAAGGGATCGACAAGATGGAACTGGAGGAGGATGTGGGATATTTATAAAACAAGGAACTCAATATATGGTATTAAGGGAAGGGTAAAAATCTAGAATATATAGTAATTGAAATATGGGGAAAATAAGGAAAATATGGGATAATAAATTTTTCAAATCCATGTAAAGCATGAACACTAGAACTGATGGAAGACATTTTGAAATATTTAAAGGAAAGGTCATTTGGTGTAGAGATTTTAATACGAATAGTACGGTGTGGGGTAAAAATAAWGATAAAAATGGTGAAATTATTGAAGAAATTAAAGAGATAAAAATTTTTGTATGTATAAATGATGGAAGGGGAACAAGAATAAATGTCAGAACAGGAACAGAATCAATGATAGATTTAACATTTGTATCAAGTTGTTTAGCAGGGGTTTGTGAATGGGACATTGATAAAAATACAACAATACAATACAACAATAGGAAGTGATCATTATCCAATAACAATAAAGGTAGGATTAACAATAGACAATAATAATATGAAAATAAATGAAAAATGGAAATTTAATAAAGCAGATTGGACCATATTTATATATATGAGCAATATAAATCTTGAAAAAAATTATAAGACAAAGAATACAAATAATATAAACAATGATAT